ATTACCCAGCTCAGAGCTGCGCAGGTTCTGATGTGCGCCGAGTCTGCTAAGGGGGCTGGTGAAAATGCGCGTTCTGATTCCGGAGGTCCGAGATCCTGCCTTTCCCATTAGCTCCCAGATCTCGCAGATGGTTTGGGGTTCTGGAGACTAGATTAGCTTGTCTCCAGTTTACCTCTTGGGTTCTGTGGTGGAAACGCAGGGATCAGAGATTGAGAGCCCAAGGCGCATCGCCAGAAAGTGGCAGAGCCGCGTCTGAGCCCCCGTCCATGTGGAAGCGTGGGTTGGGAGACGCCCCTTCCTGTTCTCCGTCGGCTGCCAGAGCAGAGCGCGTAAAGACGCGTGTGCCGGCGCTGCGTGCTCCATCCCGAGTACTGCCTCGGCCCTTTGCGCGTGGGCTCGCTGTCCCTCCCTTCTCTGGGGAACTCTGGAGTGACGACTGTTGGGACCTTAGTGTTCTGACTTCCAGTGGAGGCTCTTCCTACAGCAACTCAACTAGCACATCTCCAAGTGTGGCACGCAGCTAGGAATGGGAGGGCGACACTGCGATCCCTGGGCAACGGGGATCGGAAACTCCACGGCGCATGGCAAGTAAAGGAAGACGCAGGCCTGGCTGGGGGCCCGGGTGTGATACCCCCATCCCCCACAAAGGCAGCCCATGCACAACCCCCCGGAAGGACGAGGGAGTCGGAGTCGCCACGGCAGAGCAGGTTGGTTCCCAAAAGATCCTAATGAATTCAGAAAAGCTGGTTTGGTCTCTTCCACAGCTAGTTAGGATCTCACCAAACGGCCCTGTTTGCCTCTTTTTTCAATGACTGATTTCTCTGAGAACATCGGGGACCTTCCCGGGAACTGGGGCGGCGTGGGGGTGGGGCATGGCCCGTGTGACTGTGGGCGAACCCGTAATGACGTGTTTCTGCTCCTCCTGTTCTTTAGAAGCGCATGCGCTCGGCGCACGGTGATAGAGACGTCCTTTCCCTACAGTCTGCGTTTGCCAGAGGACTTCTAATTGGCTTGTGCAATCTGGCTTCAAAATGTTCCACTGAATAGACCGCTAGAGAAACATATGAAATAGTAGCAGCTGGCGGCTCTCTTCCTACACCACCTTCTGACTAAATAAGGCACCTGGGTAGTTCAGATCCACTTAGTAAGTATTCCCGAAGGGAACCAAATCTAGGGAAGAGGTGGGCAGGCTCATGATTTTTGTGTGTTATTTTAACTGTCAGGTATACCAGATAATTCAAATAGCCTTACAAAATGGTTTTAATTATAAGTAATAATCCTTAGTCAATGGCCGTAGGTCCTATAACTACACTTTAAAATATGGATTTGTCTTCTGTGCCTTAGACTACTAGAATCACAAATTCAGCTAATTTATTCCTCATGTCTACAATGTTGTGTACAAAATTAAATTTTGAGATTCCTAGTATTTGTATCCCTCCTCCGACCCCCATTTATATGTTGAAATCTAAGCCCCATTGTGAGGGTATCAGCAGGTAGGACCTTGGGAGGTAATTAGGGTCAGATGAGGTCATGTGGGCGGAGCCTCCAGGAAAGGAGTTAGTGCCCTTATGAGTCCAAAGAGAGCCTGTTTCCGCCTCTGCTGCCCGTGGGTCAGGAGAGGACAGTGGGTCAGAGACAAGTGACACGCTCGCGTGTCGAAAGTGCCCCCACTTTCGCTAAGCGTCTGTAAGTGGATGGTTTCTTTTTTCACCTATCCATAGCCTGTCTGAAGGCTCCAATTATTACCTGTAGAGCCGAAGAACATTGTCTGTGTCCCCTGACACCCCTAGGTATTTTTTTCCTCCGGAAGTTTATTTCTCTCTTCATTTTCTTCTTTATTTCCTCCCTTCTTTATTTTCCCCTGCTTCTCTCTCTCCCCTTTCACTTTTTCTTCCATCCCTCCTTTCCTTCTCTGTTGCTTTGTGTTGTGCTTTTTCTAATCAAGTTTATTTTAGCCTCAGATATTTTGTTTTCAAATGCAGTGAGCATGCCGGGCCTGCTGTACAGCTGACAGCGCTTAGCCCCTGAATCCCTGACTCAGAAACTCCTGCTTCCTTGGGCCCACGCCTCCCCCCCAAACCTCATGTGTGCTTTGCTGGAGTACATCCTACAGTAAACTTCGTAACACAGAATGCACGGGAGGTAAAATTTCTGAATCTACATATTTGTACAGATTTCATTTCAGCCCTTACTCTTGCTTGATCATTTAAATTTTTTTATCATTTTTTTTCCTTGGAAAAAATAAATCAAAGGTTGGTAGCTTGTTTCCCAGCATCCCGCGCTTTGACCGTGAGGGGTCTGGCACTAGCCCGGTCCTCACTGCCTACACGTAAATACGATCCTTCCATTCGGGAGTTTTCGGAAACCTGAGTCTAGGTAGCAGGCTCAGCCAGCATTTCTGAGCCCTTTCTGTGTGTGACAGTGTTGTGCTTGAGACAAGCCCCCCACCACGCCCCTGTAAGGTGGGTACTACCATCATTCCCATTTCAGAGAAGGGAGAACTCAGGGACAGAGGGGGAAGTTAGTTGCCCAAGGGCACACAGCACAGTGACACAGGGTGCGAACCCGAACAATGATTTCCCGAGTTCCTGTAACATTCGGTGTTTGTCTGTGTGTAAAACATGTACTGCAATACCTCAAGACCTTCTAGCCAATGAGGTACTGGTCGACTACTTCTCCAGGGGAAAACAACCAACCAACCAACCAAATAAACAAACCAAAAAAGCCCTATTTAGTAATGTCTGCTGGCAGGCGTGGGGTAAATACTCCCGCCACGGCCACCTCCGCGGTACGAGCCAGGTGCCCTTGGGTCCCGCTGCTGAAAGCAGGCTCCGTGCAGCCCTGCCCTCGCCTCATTAGAACTAAACTGAGTGAACTTGGAACTTGTATTGCCTGATCCTGCTTTTATTCTGAACTTGCCTTTGGTTTAATTTCCCATCAGCCGTCCTTAGAGTGAACAGAACGAGAAAGAAAGACAAATGATGCTGGTTTTACTTAGGAATGGAGAGAAGTATTTTGGCACTTACGGTGCGTAAGGACTCTGCACACGTTAGAAAGAGACAGATTGCCAGCCACTGGGAGAGGCTTTGCTTTCCACATCTAGTCTAATATGGTTTCCTTGTAAATGTTATATATCAACACCCACAGTGCGCTGTAGGAAGCAGCAGTGAATTAGGGAAAACGCACAAGCAACCACATCGAGGGCAGAGCATGGGACGTTCCCAAGTTTCAGGAAGAACCTCAGCAAGTCCTTTCCCGCACTGTCCATGCCATCCCACCGCAAACCACTTCCTGCCCCTGCCCCTCGGAGGTGAAGGGTTCGATCACGGCAGCTCTAGCTTCCATTACGTCCACCTGAAATGTGACCGTTACTTTAGCTTTCAAGTGGGCATGCCTTCCCCAGACAAGGAAACACGGCTGCTCTCCACGGCCGACCCGGGCTGTACGAGGAAACGTGGATGGTGCAGCACGCAGGACTTGGAAACAAACAGTTCCTACATTCTGTGGGCCTCACCATCTCATCTTCCTAAGGTCCTGAGTCAGGGACTGACGGCACACTAACGTATAAACAGCACAGCACTCAAGGAAACAAGCAGAAATCTTAGCATGCCTTTTTAGAAACCTTTACAGGGTCTAGGAGTCTTCTTTTTTTTTAATGACAGTATAGTGATATAAATAGGTCTTCATTCATCTTCATAATTAGTCTCCAATTAGGACATATATTTATGTCACCAGTTTTTTAAAAAATGAATTTGGTGAAACTATTAAGGTCTTAAATGAGTTCAATTGGGTGCTTAGCTCCAAATTCAATCACCAAGCATCAGATGTAATGACACTTAAAAAGAAGTTTAACAATGAAAAACTATGGGGTTTAAAAAGTATATTATAGTCTATGTATAATAAATCAATGAAAAACATATCATAGCCTATTATTTGCCTTCTGAAGCCGAGGAGGTCACGTGCTGGTATTGGAAATAGACAGTTTTGTTGGTGTGTATACAGCATACGGATACATCTCCAAACACTTCGGGCCAGCGCTCTTTAGGAGTACACCAAGATCTAGTGAGAATAGTTTGAACAAGGGGGGGCAACCTTAAGAGTCATGTGAGATTCCTATCTGTTATTTGGTAGGCATTATTTAGGGGTACAGCCTGGTAAAATCTGAATTATATTAGTTACTACTTCATTCACAGGAATAAGGCTAGTGTGCCGGTGTTTTAGATGGGTCCCCGGACAGGGGAAAGGACGGCCGGAAATGTTCTCCCAATTACGTCAAGGCCACCGCGTGGACCACCTCCGAGGGCTGTCCTCGGCCTCTGTTAAGCCTTCTTTGGGGTTTGCACTGCGGTGTCTGTTCTTATTTTCAACGTACCTGCAGGTCTACAGTGTTTCACTCCAAATGTGTCCGACGCAGTGAGTAACAACACGATTAGAGATCAAATTCCCTGAATGATTTTCAGAGGGAATTATTCGCACTGAATCTTAGCAGCTAGAACATCACAGATGTTTGTGACTGGAGACCCTTCACACCGAGGCCTTATCAGAGGAACAGGCCCAAGAAGTCCACACCACGGCTCATCGGAAGACTGCCTGCGTCTTCTAACGTGTGCAGAGCAAAGGGCACCTTCAGTATTAGCAGCATCCTTCCCTCTTCGGGCCAGCAGGGGGCGTCACGGAAAACCGCCCTTTGGTGATACGAGACCTATCACCGGATGTACTGAAATTCGGTCACGACTAATCATAATCGGCCTCACCCTTACTTTTTGCTTTGGGTCTAAAAAAACCTGGATACTCTAATTGTTTTAAGTATCCACTTATAGATGATTTCTTTTGGCTTTGAGATATCACTAGGGAAGTAAATCCCCACAGTAGCGATTCCTTAAAACAGAGTAGAAATGCAAACATCAACTCAACACCTAAAAGATATATACATACACATATACATTCACATTCAGGTAATATGCAAAGCTTGAATACAATCAGATGCTAAGAAATTCCTATATTAAAAGCAAAAGTGCTCCTTTAGCATACATTTATTTTTGTGTGTTTTACACGAAGAATTCAGAAAACACGAGGCATCCACTGTGCAGCGAGAGTGAGTGACCGTCTCAGCCTTTGCTTCCTTCTTCTTCAAATACAGACGCCGCCAGGAAGGACGGATCAGATGCAGTCTACCTTCTCCTCCTTGGGCTGGTTCGTTAGAGAATTAGAAACCATGAAACGAAACTGGGTAAACGCAGGTAGTTTATTGCAAGCAGCTCCTGCAGCCGAGAAAAGAGAAGGCCGTTCAGTTGCAGAATGCGCACATATCTACAAGCAATACAGACACCACCTGTTGTACACCTGACGTCCAGCTACGCCGCACGGAGGATGCTGTGTTGTCAGCCTCACGTGTGCCCGTGGTCTGGCGCTGGCAGACCATGGGAAAGTAGCAGTAGGGGAGCCACCTCTTTGAACCTCAGAATATAGGCTGACTTTTTGCTCTATATACATGCTGTCATGGCTGCTATGATTTATTCTGTTTTTGTATTCTTAGGGAAAAAATTCAGGCACATGCCGAAGGTTTAATTCCCGTACCACGAACACATTCCCCCCCTTCACCCATAATCCTCCCCTCCGCAGCAGTCCTGTTTTTTCCTACCCTTCTATGCTCGTTGAAAGCGAGGAGGGTAATTTGTCAAGATGCTCTCTACCTAATCAAGTTCATCTGGGGAAGTGGCCTCCCGCTGCCCCAGCTACCTGTGTGTGACACCTGGAGGGTCCCCTCTAGTGCCACCGCTTTCAATATACGGGGCGAGATTCCTCTGCAATTACATAATCATCGTCTACAACTTTAAATTCAGCTGTAATTGTATAATTATCATTGTAGCCCCTATTACATCCAACTTGGAGCCTCTTAAGGTTTATTTTTTAAGAGGATATCAATGAAACTGACTTATTTCCTACGTAAAGCCTTTCCCTCCCATACCTTATATTGACTTCTGTATCTTAGTACTTAGAAAAGAATAAGAAATACTTCAAACAACTTTTTCAAATACAGAACTGTGGGAAGTAAAAGATCAAAGAACGATAATAAGCAGTGTAACCTAGTAAGTCACATTGATCAGTGCGCTGTGTATCTTCCCCAGCTGCAAATCCACTAATGAGGAGCAGCGGTGGTTGATCCTGGAAAGCTTTGAAACTGCAGTTGCCTCCTACAGAAGTCAGACGAAGCAAAGGACGTGTCTCAGTACAAAAACAGTCCTGCTCATCTCTTTGGTTTACTAATCAGTACTACATGTGCCTCTGAGTCCCCAAAACATCTAAACAACGGGGGCATTGAAATCATGAACGGGGAAGAAGTGGGGAAGATACTTTATCCGTATTTACTTCTAGTAAATAAGGGCCTCTGAGCAGACACGCCCACCTCGGCATGAACAGGGGCTGTAGCCAAAGGGCGGCACCCGAGTCAGAAGTCACAGCCCGGCGCGAGGAGCCCAAGACGGCAGCCCGCCAGCAGCGGTCAACCCACAGAGGGTTTCGGGTACATTTTCCAGCAATTTGTGAGTCTTAACGGATGGCCAGGTAACATCTGCCTAGTGCCAGCCAATGGCGTCCCTGCTGCCGCTGTGCAGGGATCAAATGCAACCGTGGCATTTAAAAGTGTACATTTCCATCAACATTTGCAGGCTCACACAAACACAAATGCCGCATAAAACTCACCATAACTTCCAGTCACGTTGGCACAGATAACAGCTCCGAAGAACTTGGGAAAATACTTCTGAATTCTGGAAATCACTTTTTGGCAAGCCGCGGTTGGACTTTCGCCTCTCCTCATATACTCCACGGCTTGGTAGCTGGTGCAAACAGAGGGAAAACTTGAGAGTCACAAAATACACTAACTCTGAATTTGGCTGCCTTAAGCTAGAAGTCTGAAAGCATCCAAACGGTCACATGGGATAGAATGCCTACACGAGCAGGGGTCAGTATGTCTGCGTGAAGCGTCAACAAGGCAGCATGCTGACCTTGGTACGGTGTCTATCTCGCCAACTAGTCCACCTGCTCGCTGCAGACAAGGGCTGATAGATACTTCCAGCTTTGATGGAGGTCATAACGTATAGCGATTATCTTTCAATACGAAACGGGGCTATGATCAATAGGGAAAACACTGGGTCCTTGCTGTCATGATTATCTTAGGAGTTACAGGCAGGGACTGCATTTCTGATTTCTATCATCCATTACCGCAGTTCCTGTATTCGCTGGCCTCACGGACATTACTTGCCTGGACCCTAAGCACCCTCGTCTGTGAAGCCCAGTCAGAAATACTGTTCTGTTTCGGAGGACGAGGGTTCCTTGGCTTGAACGATTATGTTATCAACAGGATAGGTCGGGAGCTGTGGGTGGAGCTTCTCAAAAGCCCTCGTGTGCACAAATCCGGATTGCATGGCACACACGGTTCCTATCCATCTCGACGGACAGCGCCCCCCAAAGGTCTCGGAGAGTCACGAACGCGGGAAGTCACACCTCGGCAGAAAGCGCATCAGTATGTCCCCGTCCCCCGTGGCCGCCGCAGCCCCAGCAGTGTCGTCGGCGTAGGCCCCCGCTCCAGGAATTGGCGAATCTCCTACTCGGCTTGGGGAGGACACGGCGTGACAATTTAGGACGGGAAATCACATGCACACACAAAGTCATTGTATGAGCACTTTCAACAACAGCGGGTGTTTCTACTCAGCTGCTGATAACTGTCTTAAGCAGTTTCTTCGCCGGGGCACAGAGAAAAGGATTTTCCTAAGTTTCAAGCTAGGCTCCCACAGACCTACCTTAATTACATAAGAATTAGATACGAGCTGGCGCCTTATCAAGGTGGCACAGATTGACGGTGACTACTCTCTTCTGACCACCCTTACCGTCTAATTTCTGGATTATCCCTACGGGCTCAAATTAGATTCCGCCACCTACGATCTATTTCCGTGTCCTATCTGATGTGCCAAAATGGGACCGAGGTTTTTCCTTGTAACAGCCCTCCGGTGCTTTTCTAGTACTGTGAAACAAAACCCAGAAGCCCCTCACCGACTTAAGGCCCCTGGAAATCTGACTCGTCTCCTTTCCCTGCACCCAGAGGAGAGGCACGCGGTCTCCCGTGCAGCCAGCCGGAGCCCTGGGCCGAGGGGCGTGCCTTCGGGTCTGGCACTGCCCTGGCCTGTGTGTCCCCCTGCCCTCCCCAGGCCGGGGCTCGGCCCCGGCATCTCCCCACTGGCCTCCCTGACTACCCCAGCGTCATCGGACCTCCGCGGCCGTCCCTGACCTCTGGAGCACCGGCCGGCTCTCCCTGTCCGCCGGCTCTCCGCGGATACTCGTTTATTCTCCTTCCCATCTATTCCCCTCGGCCAGGAAGGGGGGCTGTGCTCTGCGCTCTTCCCCCCCCCCCCACCACCCCGTAGCACCAGCACGTACTGGTGTACACTCAGTGCGTACTTGTGAGATGTGTTCTCTCAGACACTGACCCGGGTATTTTGAATTTTAAACCATTTGTAGATGTACCGGCGGCGGTGTGTCCTGTCTTATGGATTACGACCATGCCTGGAATTTAAAAAAAAAAACAAAACATCTTTGTAGGTATCAACTCTAAAGTTTACCTCAAATATAACCAAACCATTCAGCAGTTGGTAAAATAAATATCCTCTTTCATTAATTTCAGGTAGAGGAAAACAGAACACTTGGGAATACTGAAAATTACACCAGGTAAAATGTGTGCTTTTTAATGATCTGGTCTCATAGCATCATTTGGTAGATACCCCATAGTCTTACTCTTCAGTTTGCTGTGTTACTTTTCAAAGGTAATTCCACAGAAAATCACTGATGGAGACTGACAGAAATTTCCAACCTTATAACCCAGAAAGATCACTTGAATGTAGCAAATAATGTCAAATTATTAAAGAACTAAATATAAATATTTAAAAAATCCACAAGTGAATAATCGTCAGATATTAGGGGTCTTGTCTAAGATAACCCACTAAAATGGACACAGAGGCTACGAAAATGCTAAGTGTGTGTGTGAGTGCAGAGTCGTATGGAGGTATATATATCTGTAGTCTTGTTTGCCAGTTAAAGCCGTCGGAATCACCTCCTGGCGCATGCATAGGGAACACATTCAGGACTACAGAAGGGCAGTGACACATGGCTTCACTTTAACCACAAAAACTGTATAAAAGGCAAATTACCAATAGTATCATGACCATAATTATCTCCTGTTTCCTTATAGGCAGAACCATCTTGCTTTAAGATACTAGGTGGTTTGTAAGGTCCACAGTATTTTGAAGGATCTGGCATAACATTCTGTAAACGAGATATACGTTTTGTTTTTTAGAAAGGGTGATTTCAGAAAGTGGCAAGTCGTCACATGCAATCACAAAGCATTAGGAAGAAACCAAAAGGACATCTGGTACGTGAAAGATAAGAATTAAAAGCCAACGATTAACTCAGTCTCATGCGAACAGATGGATATAATTTCACTAAATACCTCGTCCAGTCTCAGATGTGCATAATGTGGAACAGAAACCCACTCACTCTGGAAAAGATCCCGGTTTTCCTCTTTATATGCCTAGCACTCTCTGCCTAAGGGCGGACATCCATGAAGATCTTTTGTTAGATACTAATTCTCAACGGAATTAGGTACGCAACCTGACCTTCCAATTTCCTAATTTGTTCCCTGGCCAAAGAAGAATTATGAAATCTAAAGCAAAATCTGTTTTAAAACCACCTTTTTTCCCACAGCTAGGTTCATGTGCGCCTATTCTAAATTCTACTCCCAGATTCTTGCAGGAATCAAAGCCTCAAGAGAATAATCCAAACCCATAAAGTCAGGTTGAACATCTATCAACACTCGGGCGAGAAACCCACGGCTCCTCTCTCGTCACTAGCCCACCAGGGGCTTCCCCAGCCTGGTTCTGCACAGCGGCCTCGTGCACCCCACGGGCCCCAGGGAGTCTGCAGTTCCTCCACCGTAACCAGGATTTGGTGACACGACAGACGAGAGACTTCGCCAGTCCCCAGTAAAACCGTGCATGGCACACGCAAGCTGACCTGTGCTCCAAGCCCCACTGATTTAAGGGTAAGGGTGTCCCGCGAGTGACGTGCCAGGTGCCTAATCCTGCACCACCTCCAGTCAAACAAGGACAAGGGCCTGAGTACACTTCGCGGAGATAAACATCTAGCAAATGTTTCAGACCAACGGTTTCCAAACGTGGATGTTTCGGACTCGGAAGCTTTCGTTCTAAGCAAACACGAGCCGAGCGGCTCTGACTGAAGCAGCCCCGCTCCCCGGAACGGGACCTTCCAAGTCCCAAAACGGTCACGCGGAACCAGCCGCTGCCCCCGGGGAACAGGCCTTACATGCAGCGAGGGGGGGGGGCTTTCAGGGACACCCAGGCCCGAGGTCGTCGCCGGTTCTCGGTGCAACAGGGTGCTCGCCAGCACCTCTGGCTCTGGGCAGACGACAGAAGGCAGAGGGACGTCACTTCATATTTTCACACAATGTGCTGCTTGAACTTACGTACACATACCCGCCAACTATTTGGCTGGCAATTCCGAGCGAGCCAATCGGAATGAAGGGCTCGAGAAGTATCGGTGGACAAATCCTCATTGACAAACCCCATACTTTCGGCAAACTTGGTGGCTGGCGATTGGGAAGAAAAACGTCAATCAGTTCACGATTGCCTTGTAACCAAAACGCACGCCTAGGAAGTGCTGAGGTCAGGTCCCTGAAGGGGGCGGGGCACGACCATCCCCGCGGGCACAAGGAGCCTTCGGGCAGGAAAGGTTTTAAGGCATCCGCTTGTAGATCTCAGCTTCCCTGTGCCCTCCCCAAAAGTGATTTGCTTGAGACCCTTGGAGTGTGTGTTACGACAGCTGTCCTTACTTCCTCCCCGGCACAATCCCCCTCCTTCTACCCGGCAAAAGGCACTCCTCTCCCCAGGGAGGAGTCTCAGGCCCCAACCAGCGGGCCACGCCCCGCGTGCGGAAAGCTGAGGCCCGGAGGGACAGCTGGATTCCACGAATGTCAGGAGGCTTTCAGCTCTGGCTCTCAACGAAACTGAAGACCTCCTCTTGGAGTCCTTAGCTCACGCATGTTCACAGTTACTGATTATGGGTCACTGCATGATTTTGGGTGTGAACTTGGAATGCAGTAGCAAAACTAGCAAAACTCCTTCCGGTCCCATCTTCTCATGGTCACGGCGCTCCGTGCCCTTGCGCCCCTCTGAAGGTCACACAGGGAGAGCAATGGTGCTGAAGCCCCTGCCGGCCCGGCAGGTCCCTTCTATAGATAACAGACTAAGTTTTTAAAACCCTTCTTTAAAGATGAAGAAAGCGAGAATTTAGAAGTTCACTTGTCTAAAGTGAAATGGATACTAGGTAGAACAGCTGGAATTGGAGCTTTGGTTGGCTTTTTGACACTATTCGACACCGAGTGGGTCCTTTTCCCGCAGGGAACACAGGGGACCAGACCCTCCCGTGCAGGGCGCGCGCACCCGACTCTCCCACCAGCAGTGTGTGTGTGGTGTGCTCCAGCACTTTCCGGGCCACGCCCATGGCGCTTTTAATGCGTCTGAGATCTCCTACTGCGCCGACGTCCATGGTGGTGCTGCAGGGAAAACAAAACAAAACAAAACAAAACAAAAACGCAGTGAGATTTAAGGCGGTTGCATAGACTCATAGATTTAAAAACAGTGTTTTCCTCCAAGCCCTCGTGTTCTGTAGGATAAACACGAACTTCACGTAGACGTCACAGCACATCCATGAAGTTCATACAAATTCCCCCCATCACACCCAGGAAGGAAGAAGTCAAACACCAACCCACCATACCCTCCGCCAGCAGGCAAACTCTCCGCGTCACCGGCCGTGTCTTTCGCCCTGCTGTTCAAAGGGGGTTTAAGGCTTCCGTGCGGGTCGGGCAAACCACAGTGTTTGTGGATGGCGGGTCAAGGACCCCGCACAGGATCAGAGACATATTTTCTGCAGTTTGGGGTCTCCTGTGCTAAAGAGACTGCCATCCTTCACGTGATATATATATTTTTTTAATTGGGAGGAAAACCCACTGTGATTGGAAAGGCCACGCAGGAAGCCAGGGGTTTGAGCCGGGACAAGGCTTCAACAACCGTCCACCCAGCTCTCAGCACTAGGCAAAGGTCACGCAGCTGCCCGGAAAGCGAAGGCGCAGACGCCCGCTCCCCACCCCATCCCTCCCCGGGCCGGGCCTGGGGCGCGTGCTCACCCATCCATGATCATGGCGTCCAGCGTGGTCTCCCCAGACTCGTCGGGGCTGCCCCCGAAGCCCACGGTGCCGTCGCACTGCTCCCGCTCGCACCGGGTGCAGCCCGCCTCCACGGCGTCCAGCGCGGAGCCTCCGGACGCCAGGGTCCGCCACGCTGGGGTCAAAGCCCAGCAGTGCTTGTTTATACTTGCGCGTTTTTCCAGTGCCAAAAGCAACAAGCCAGGGACGTTTTGAGAACCCCTGTGTTTACATCTTTTCATTTACTCTAAGTTACATGGAATTTTTATTTAATTTTTAAATTGGTTTAATGTAGTCTTTATTATATTTTTTTCCATTACCTTTTGGCCCCCTCATAACCCCCTTTCCCCAGCAATCACCTCACTGTCATCCATGTCCACCAGTCCTTTTTAAATGGGCTTTTAAACCAGTGTTATTAGATGCCACAAAGGAATCAGAGTGATACAGACAGCGGTATGGATAAAATTATATAATACAGCTAACTACCATGAAGAATTCAAAGACTTTGCTGCTGATGAAGAGTGTTTTTTTTTCACTTATTAATATGTATTTCTACTCCGTGTGAGAAAAAGATTTTGTCCTTCAAAGTTACATCTGACGCTGCTGAAAGGCAGTTACATTGAAGTCACTAAATTACATCCTTACTAGTGGCTGCGTCATTAGATCATTAAACATATAGGTATATCTCTAATACTTTAATTCCCATAGTGCCCGTCACAGCATGATATTAATAACAATACCACAAGAGCAAATAAGGCCAGCGTGGGCTTCACATGGATTGATTCATTTGATCTTCACAATAGCTTTCCAGGTAAGGACTGTACAGTTACTATCATCACTTTAAACAGGAGGAAACAGACCCAGCGAGGTTTTAAGTTCTCCAGCGTCACACAGAGTCAGTAGCAGAGCCAGGATTCACAAGTAGCCATTTGCCTGGCTATTAGCACTCTACTCTGTTCCGCGGAGCCCCACACATTGAAAAGGAATAAACAGAAGGTTTTTGATGGTCAATTTCTTTACTAATCAACAGAAAAATCCTTAAAGGGTAGGTACTATTTTAGTAAATAATTTACCTATTACTACTGGCCATACTGGCTTGAAAGTCTATTTTTTAAGAGAACAAATTATTTTAATTTTATAGAAGGAGAAACATCAGTTTGTTGTTCCATTTATTCATTCACTGAATCACAACCACATTCATTGGTTGATTCTTGCATGTGCCCTGACCCGGGAGATCAAACTCATAACCAGCAACCTTGGTGTATCAGGAGGACACTCTAACCTAAACGGCGCTACCTAGCCAGGGCGGGGGAGTGTATTTTGAGAAGCTGAAGCCCCATACACAGACAGACTTGCCCCTGCCTGGGCTGGTGCACTTTGTCTCATCATCGCTGGGGATTTGTTTCTTGTGCTCTGCTTCCTCATGTGCTCTGAATGTATTCATTGCTTATAACATACAGACCGAGCTCCAGCAAATTCAGGAGCCAATTCTGTCCCCATAAAGTGAAATGAGCCTCTGAAAGGGTTTGAAATTACTTCTGGGGTATTAATGTCTTGAAACGAATGGAACACACAGTGAGAAACTGACAAGATAATGGTATGCACAGGAGAGCAAAGCACGGAAGATGGGCATCTATACTTCAGAATGGGTATAAGGGCAGTGTATCAAGGACGGCTTTAGCTTAACTGGCTTTCGATCTTGGCTGCAAATCAAAATCACTTTGGGAGTTTAAGACAGAACAAAACAAAGAAAGAAAAAACTAGATGCCTTGGTTCTAGCAGTGAGAGCAAAATCTCTGGAGGTGCAGCCCAAGTACTGATACACTTGACAAGCTCCGCAGATGATGCTAATGTCCAGCCCAGATTGGGAGCGCGCATTCCAGGTAGCAAACACAGCACATCAATTCGTGTGTGGGGGAGGGGGGCGGGGAGTAAGTGCAAAACTAATGTGCTTTTGGAGAGAAATTATTAGTAGTCTAAAAAGCTGGAGTACGGGGTACCATTGGAGAGAACGGAGGGGTTAGAATGAAGAGGTAGAAAGAAGACAGACCATGAATAGATTGCGGTCAGGCACAGAGTCCCCTGGGATAGGCTAAGCAGCGGGGCGGAGGATGTATTGGCGCGGGCTCGTACAGGAGGAGTAACCCTAAAGGACGGGGACGGAAAACTCTGCAGAGCTCGGGGCGAGGGTCGATCGCGAGAGACGAAGACGGAGCGGTGCGCGCAGGGCGGCCAGGTGAGCGTGCGTAAAGCCCGGAGGGCCAGACGCTGGCCGGCTCTCCCCGCAACTCCCCGCAGGCGAACTCTCGCGGCACAGTCCCCGCCCGCGGCCACCGCCCCGCACCTGCTTCGGTTGCATTCTTAAAAGGCCACGTGTTGAGCACCAGCGGGAGAGGGCTGGAGCTGCTCGCCGGAGACGGGCAGAGCAGGAGCTGCAGGAGGAGCAGAAGGTCCGACTTCCGCACCATGGCTGCGGGGCCCGCCCAGCGCCGGGGTCGCGTCCGGCCGCGCTCGCGGACCACGTGACCCCCGGCTCCCCGCCCACCTGGCCCGGAAACCCGCTTCCTCCCGGCGCGGCCGCCGCAACTCTCGCGAGACCCGGGTCCCTCTAGGACAGTCCGCGGGGGGGGTTTCAGTCTGGAGGGCTTTGCAGGTTTCAGTACTCTTTGCCCATCGTTAGAGGCAAATTGAGCTTCCCGTGGGAAAACTCGTGTGGCATTATGCAGCCCTGGGAAGGTTTAGTACCCTAGGAAGGTTGCAGACCCTAAGAAGTTTTAAAATTTTGTCTTAACGTATCCATGTAATGGAGAGTTGCAGGCGAAACGTTTGGCACATGCAGGAAATACTGAGGGATTCCTGGCCTCGGGTCTGGGGTGCTCATTGAGTGCACAGGAAGCTGCTAGTCTACAACCCATTCATTTTAGGACTTCCCTCTCCAAGAGCTTTTTCTAGGACGTCCTCTCCCTACAAACCCCTGCCTGAAAGAGAAGGAGAAAGCCTGGGGAGCCGGGGGCGCAGGATAACTCTCGGCACAGCGTCCTGGAGCGTCCCTCCCTGCTTCCTCCGTTCCCCATAGCCTGTGCTTCTCCTTGAGCCTGGCACCACGAAGTGCTAAATAAACGTGTGACTATGTCAACCTTTTTAAAGGAAAGGGTAAGAGACTCAGCCAGCCGCATCGAGTTTATTTCGAATAGCAGAGGGATTGCATTGGGGAGTGGGAAACTGGTGAGCCACATGCAAGCCCAGAAAAAGAAAAAAAAAAGAAAAAAAGCATTCTTCTATAGAGGAGAAGAGGAAGTTGAGAGAGGTCATTGGAACAAAATCTGGAGCAAAGAACAGGAGAATCCCACGTAGCACCGGAAGCTTGCTCACTGGTGCAAGGCAGAGAGGGAAGCTTTCTTTTCACGCCTGCACCTTACCAGGTGCGGCCTTGTTACCTTCCTGAGCAATTTCCCCTGCAGGGGTGTCCAACCCATGCTTGCAGGCCACGTGTGGCCCAGGATGCCCATGAATATGGCCCGACACAAAATCGTCAATTTACTTAAAACGTTTCTTGCCGGGAGGGCGTTCATCAGTTTTCGTTAGTGTTTGTGTATTGAATATGTGGCCCAAGACGAATCTTTCCTTGTGGACCAGAGACGCCAAAAGTTTGGATACCCTTGCGTGGCTTCCGACTGTACTTTGAATGAGGTTTTCTTTATTCATATTCACAGATGAAAGTTGGGATAGAGATTTTACATGCATGACAGAGGTAGACTTTTTGATAGTTGGGTTTTCTGGGCAGTTGGGCAAGTGTGAACAGATCGTCCTTTTGGGGCCCTGGAATGCCTGCCAATGTTGCCAAGGGAACCCACGGAATCAAATAATGTTGAAGAGTATGCATAAATCTACCTGGGCAAATAAAATACTAAGTTGGTAGGATGTGAGAGGTTTATGAAACTTCTGAATTATGAAATTAAATACACCATTTAAATAGCGTAAACTAGGCTATCCCAGGCAGGGAATTGCTATTAAAAAGTTTGGAGAAGTGTTATAAATTTCTACAATGGGATTTTGGAGGAGGAACAATTCATTTATGCTGGGGTAATCGGGATAAATTAATGCCATGCGAAATTTAAAAAGGGGGCAAAACAGGGTAAGGAAGCAAAGTACGACCACTGTACTTTGAATTCCTCTTCATTAACACCTGATCTGAGCCCTAGTATTTCTGACACTCCTGAAGGATCTGGGTCAGCCTTCAGCAAAAACAGCTGTGCAAAAGAACACATAAAATGTTGCTCTGGCACCCTCTGCTCTTTGGAGCATCTCCCTGAGGCTTAAAGCATTTGAGCTGCTTCTGGCTAAAAGAGCCTGAACCTTGTAGTCCTACTATTGACCTTAACAAATGGCTGTTTATGCAGGAACAACAACAACAAAATGCAAATTTCAAGTCCAGAAAAAAGCAAAGGAGAAGAACCACTCTTTTATGGACTTGGGCAGGGCTAGGGAGAAAGTGGAAGTTGGAAGTACAGTGGTTTCCTTGACTGAGTTACTTGGCTGAGTTTCCATCCGCTGAGCTGCTACTGGGCGAGGAGGAATCTCTGCTTCCTTCGGAGGTAGTGATTGTAAATGTAGTGTCACTGCCTGTCAGGGATGCAAGGCGCATCTCTTCTTCCTGGGGTCAGTAGTGTGTGTTGGTGCCATGGATGAGAATTCTTTCCTTTAGCTCAGCAATTTTCAACTGGTGCTTTGAAAAAAATGTTTAAAATTTGCATCACCTGACTATTTAGTCAGGGGCACTGACCTGTTTTCCCTTGGACTGTCAGATAAAAAATGACAGCAATGAACAAAACAACGGCCATCCAGTGTGAATGAATCAAAATTACACCTATTTTTATTAGATCGCCAAAAAATATACTTTTTGGGGTGCTGCAGAATTTTAGTAATTAGTTTAGTGTGCCATGAGATGGGAGAGGTTGAAAATCTCTGCTCCACCCTCTTGACTGCATTTTAAATAAGGTTTCCATTTGTCACACTAATAAGTCCACCCTTTTCTCCAAAATTCCTCTCCTTACCTGAAGTGAAAATTCCCACCAGAGAAGTTCCACTCATCTACTGGTTGTAAGAAAACAGCTAAAGAGTACGAATGTTTGAGAAAAGGTCACAATAGGTCAGCTTTCTCAAGGGCATTTGTATTTAAAATAATTAATATGCCATCTTGAATGAATCAGACTTATTTGGTTCATTTAAATGCATGAACCTACTAAAATACCCAGTGCATCCACTGTCCAATTGCCTAAACTTGAAGTCCTTTCTGCTGCTGTCTTAAAGATGAGAAAGTAGTTTGGATATTTGAGCTCCTTACGGATTAGGTTTCCATGATTAAAACTTGGAAACTAGTTTGAGTTTTAGCCCTGAAGTCACGTCATGTTATTTTCAGGTTTTTATTTGGCCCTGCACATAATTAGATCTATATGCTTAATATTGAGAAAAATCCAAATGAAAAGGCATCTGTTAATCTGTTAGGTAGTACGCCTGAAAAAAAAATCCAGTTTTCCCAGCATTTTCTGCAAATTTTCAGTATCTTAAATCATTAATTACACATAACAACAGAGTTCTGTAGCATTCGTGATAAATCGAAAGAATTAGTTACGAATTATTTTTACTGGACATTAGAATGCACTACACGCTTTTCTTTAGTAGTAAAATGTTGGGGTTCCTAATCAGAACCTGCTTGGGATTAGCAAAACTCCAGGGGATTCTCAAGGCCCGGATTTTGTAACATGGGGCAAGGACGTCTTCCGCAGCCCCACCTTCCCCACCTGGAAGGGGGAGGGAACAAGCGTTCTCCCTCACCTTACAAACTTTCGTGGGCGAGTCAGGACATGTGAGAGAATGGTGAAGCACTGTACAAATTAAATAAAATTCTATTGTTTGGTTGGAGTGTTCCAAGCATCCGTCAATAGATGTCAGGGAGGAGGCGGTCCAGAAACACAGAGAGCAGCGAATTTCCACAGGAATAATAAAGACTTGGCCAAATACTCATAATGCATTTTTAAAGTCAGCAGTTAGAATTTCCTTAACTGTCTTAAACAGGAGCTAAAAATACTGTTTTCTGTCTACTTTGAGCTGTCTGAAATTCGGTTTGAATGTTTGTAAGATGCCCACGGCAGGGTTGTGCAATTTGTGAATGTTACAAAAACAGCATCCTCAAGTCTTCCCAGGGAGCAGCCTCCAATGGAAGTTTAAACGATGTTACAATTAGAGCCGTTCTGTGTGGGGTGAGGCGGGGGCGCAGGCAGCTGCGGGCCCCCCTTCATTTTCCCTGAACTTCACGGCTTTCAGGTTATCAGTCTCAGAAGGATGAAGCGCTGAGTCTCCCCTGATAGCATTCGCCGCCGTGGTTCCGCAGAGGATTTAACGCTGTAGTTGCAGGGTATCTCGGTATTTCAAATCTGAAGCTTAAAAATCTAAGCTATCCCCTCCGGCTTTTGCGCGGATGCTGTGAAATCCATTTGAGAAACATGCCCCTGTTTTGCTACTTGTTCAAAGCTGTGAGCGTGACTTGGCATTGAAATAATTTTTTTTTTCCCCTCAAAAACTCCCCGCTGACTACTACCTGGGTTATCTAAATACAAGCTATTTATTTGATTGGCATTTGCTCTTGTCAGTTTCGAAAACTCTAAGTAACGATTGTTCCTAATGTGAGAGCATCATGGTACCGTATTTCTCATTTAAATCCATTTTTCATTAATTCAGGGACACTTGATGTTACTACCTGATCATACGGTCTGGTTGTAATTAGAGTCATTATACAGGAATAAGTATTATCTTATTATTCTCTAAATGAGAAAAGAAAGTATGTATCCTTTCTGGAATATTTTTTTTGATTCATGTCCCTGAAACCGTTTGTGAAATCAATAGCAGATTCAAATCACCAACTTTTGGGGGGTTGCTTTTTAACCTTTAAAAGTCTTGGTGACTTATAGGACCAGGATTGTACAGTAGGATATTGACCTATTCAATGATTTCTTTTCAAAATAACTTATGTACGACATATTCTTAATTTGTAATTTTAATAGTGGGCCACTGTTACACTACAGTTATCATAACGAGGATGCCGTAGATCATTTTACCTGGTGGGCCCTGATTTTTATGACTATTGTTTGTAGTGTTACGTGAGGTCTTCACGAACATGATCCATTCAGAAAATAAAGGCCGAGGGCAACAGGACAAATGTCAGGATGTCTTCCTACCACTTTAAAAATGACTTTGACATGGTTAACTAGTGTCACAGGGGATTTTAATGAAAACGTTTCACAGTAAAAGTGAAATTCCAGAGTAACACTGACTTACAGCAAATACTCTCACCATTTAAAATAATAATTGTTGATCATAATTTAAGAGGAAAAATATTCTAAGGCACAAATGTATCCTGTGTATAACTCTTCCACTAGTCTATTATTTCCAAATGGTTTTCCTATTATGATTTAAAAGAGATTATTTTACATGTGACTTAGT